ACCTTCTTTTTTGCCGTCACAGTGCCCTATGATACTCTCACTGTAATTTGTTATCTCCTAATGAATAAAGGAATCAAAGTTTACCCCATTTTAAACTTTTATGTCCTAAACGTGTGGTTCATCGGATGTGGGCTTTGAGCCCACTACTTTATTTATATTATTATTAGTACTAGTCTTAGGCTACGCGCGTCGCGCGTGTACCTTATAATAGTTTATATTTTCTTAAAATTGCATAAATATTATTAAGTGATATATGTGAGATATGAAGATATAAACTAAAGATTAAATAAAAATTTAAATCTCTGAATATGAAGAAGGTTAATGATATTTAACTAACTAAACAAAGAATTGTACTTACTTTTCATTCTATGTTTAGTCACTTGTTTTTATAAATAAAGTGTAACTTCGATGGCATGGAATTAGAGGAACGTATTGTAATTTACTTTTAGTTCTATGTTTAGTCAATTGTTTTCTTAATAAAATAAACTATCGTAAAATTTCTTAACATAAGAAAAGGTAAAAAAGAAAACATTCCTACATTTGTTAACATAAATAACAAAAGAAAATACGCATCTAATAAAGAATCTTTAGTTATTTTGGGTATGACATCTAATATTTAAAGGTTTTATTATAATGCCTAACGAAGAGAAATTTCAATTTAAGGAAGGTCCTAAATATTAGGCCACGTATATTAATGGGAATTAATTTTAAAATTCTAAATAGTAGGAAAGTAACTTAAATTACAATTTTGTTCAATATAAACTCTATTTTTAAAGGGTAAAAAAAGCGAACGACATTTCGTTAAGAGCCTTCATGCTTTTAATATAGTATAGATTATTATATTTCTTCTCCCACTAACTTAATATTTGACCCAATAGTTATAAATAAAAATTATTTTTTTTTAGTCTCACAATTTATAAGTATATATAAAATACTTTCCGGTTATTACAGATACCTACAAAACGAGCAAACAAATTAGTAGTAAAGTCCTCACCAACTCACTTGATGTCGCTCAACCCTCGTGTATCACACCTTGCACCAATTGGCTTTTGCGTGCTCAAAGTCCTATTCACTCTTTGCCTTTTTCCGCTCAGTAGTGAATGTCAAAATTGCTAGCAAACTTAAGTCCCAATATTTCACAACAAGTTCCAACCGTCTTCGGGGTGGAGTGGAAGTTNTCGCCACAATCAACTAAGGTATCATGAGTAGAAGGATAAGCTATTTTACCTTGAAGCTCTTCTAAAGTGAAATTCTCTTTACTTTGAACTTCTTCATTAAATTTCAAAAGTTCTCTTGAAAAGTTAGCTTGATCTTCTTCCAAGTTCATTAAAGTAGATTGAACTTCACTTGATGGCTCATCTCCGAAAATTCCTTCACAAGATACAAAACAACTAGAGAAAGAAGAAAGGTTATTAGCATTAGAATAAGAAAAATCCTCGCTCTCTTTTTGTTTTCCCCCTTTCTTTTCTCTCATTTTCTTTTCAAGCTCTTCACTCTTTTCTTGTGGCAACTCATTCACTTTACTCCACACATTCTCTCCTTTTTCCACTCTAGAGTTGTCACTATTCTCTCTCTTGCTTCTCTCTATCTTTTGTCTCTCATCCTTACTTTTTCTCTTTGCATTTTTCAAGGATGTTGTCAAACTCATTTGGCTTCTTTCCCTTTGGTTCACTTTATTCTCCCTATATTTATCATGGAAAACTTGTTGGATGTTGTCCAACTCATTCAAGGTGGTCTCATGATCATGTTGAAAAAGTGGGTTGTTAATCATTCGAGGCTCTTGAGGTGGTATGGGTGGTGGAGGAGGGAGATTGTTCGTCCTTGGTGGTGCTTGAGGCATACGTTGGGGAGGTAGATTCATTGGTGGTCTAGGTTGGGTCATTTGGGGTGGTGGTATTATGGGTATGTGTGCTTGAGGTCTAAATGGTGGTTTGTGTTGGTTGTTGGTAGGTGGATGGTAGTTTGGTGGAGGAAAATAAGGTCCCTTTGGTGAATGTGGGTCGCTTTGGTAAGTTTTGTGGTATTTGGTTGGGTTGGTTGTGTTGCAAATTTTCCCTTTGAAGCATTTGTCGCACTTGTGAAGGAGAGGGTGTAGTAGAGGAATTAGTAAGCGTCATACTACGCTCCCTTCCTTGTCGCCTCATGTGAGATTCCTCCAATGGAATTCAACCTTGCATTCGTTGTGTTGCCATATGGTAAAATTGGTAACCTTCTCCTTGGATCACAATTAAGACTAGATGTTTGTCCGTACTCCATGATACCTACAAAACAAGCAAACAAATTAGTAGTAAAGTCCTCACCAACTCACTTGATGTCGCTAAATCCTCGTGTATCACACCTTGCACCAATTGGCTTTTGCGTGCTCAAAGTCCTATTCACTCTTTGCCTTTTTCCGCTCAGTAGTGAATGTCAAAATTGCTAGCAAACTTAAGTCCCAATATTTCACAACAAGTTCCAACCGTCTTCGGGGTGTAGTGGAAGTTGTGTATTCACAAGGATGGACATTAAAAAGCAAACGGACTTGAATCAAGCAATTCACAACGAAAATAAAGAGAAAAGCACGAAAGAAATGGCACGAAATAAAATAAAGCACACAAAGAAACTAGATAAACTTAATATGAACTAATATCAAGTTTACACTAGTTTAGAATTATGTTTACTAAAAATTGAGAAGAAAGAGAAGGAATGAAACTACAAAACTAGACACTTTTTCAAAATGTGGACATATTTGCAAAATCTGGCTATTCTTGTAACACTGGTCAGATTTGCAAAGAATGACCAAATCTGTAACTCTGGACAAATTCACAAATGCTGGCAAAACTGCAGGCTGTTGGGGTTCTTCTGGGCAGTGTTCTTCACCATTCGGTAAAAGATTCAACCTTGCGATCGAAGCCTCAATTGTTAGTGCGGTACTTTCAGTTCATGCTCGCAAACCAATTCAATCCAACTTAGTTTCCAGTCTTCACAAACTATTGTATCCTCAGCTATGCAAACACTGATTGTTCCTCAATGCACTCGGGTTCCAGTCCAGGCAAAGAAGTTCAGCAATTTCAGACAAAGAAGCGGAAACTGTGCAGACAATCAGCTTTGAACTTTGCAGAATCCCTTCCAGATTAGTCTCAACTCCCTGATGTTTCTCAGCCAACTGCTTCAACAATTTGACTAAGTGAAGTCCCCAAATCAGCTCAAACAATGCAAAAGAAGGTGCAGCAGTCCTATTTTGCAGTTTCAGCAGCTCTGAAGTGCAGACAAGGTGCAGAAGTTTTCAGCTCAACTGTGCAACTTATGAGGTTCAACAGTCCAAAATTCTGCAGATTTTCAGCAGATAACAGAGGAACAAACAGTGCAGAAATTTTGTGGCTCAGTTTTGCAGAACACTTAAAAATGCTACTCAAAATTTATCAGAAGGCAAGCTAAAACACTGCAGAATTATTGCAGAAACTGGACAGCACGCTATAGCTAAATAATCTGAAATTAGGACTCTTCTAACAGCAACTAACAAGAAGAAATCTTCAGTTCTCAATTCAAGTAATCAATCTCAAATCGTAACACAAAGATGAATTTTCAAACTTGCAGCAACTACGACAGACTTCAGCTCAATCACATTCAATAAGAATATCAATTGGAAGTCGACGATTATCAGTTCACAATTCGACAGCAACCTTGATTTGCGCCCACAAATTCACTCAAAGAACTATCAACTGCAAATTCAGCTCACAAGCAGAAGCAAGGAAAATTGTAGCTCAACACTCAGAAAATGCAAGCTTAGAGAATCAGAAACTCAGTCGTAATTACCAGCAACAAGAGCAATAAACTCGATCACACAGTCTCAATTCGGGTCTCAGAAGTCCAGAAACCAAATGAAGCTTCACTAGCAAACTCAGTTCTTAGCAGCAGAAACTATGATAGTACTACAAGGATCAGAATTGAATCCCACAATCAACTCAAACACTCTTAATATCGACCTCAATAAACAATTATCAGAAGAATGTGAAGACAGAGTTTCAGTTCAAACTCAAGGAAGTAATCTCTGTTGGATTTTGGATGTGTTTAATTAATAAATTAAATACTTAAAAGAGGGTGAATGGGAAATGGAGGGAAATAAAATTTTTGAGTGAAATTTTAAGTTCCCCCTTGGCAAATGGGCATTGTCCCATATTGGAAGAGGAAGAGGTTTTTTATGGGTATATAAGCAATTGCTCTTCTTCTAGCTCTTAAAGAGTTGAGAAGAAGGCAAGCCTCGCGCCGTCGTCGTCGTCGCTCGGCTTCGGCTTCGGCTTCGGCTTCGGTCAAATGATTGATTGATTAACTTTTTGGACCAAATTTATTTGTTAATAGTAAAATATTTGTTTTAATAACAAAATATTAATATTAAATATTAATATTAAATCCAATCCGTTTTTCTGTTTTGGTAACAGAAAAGTAACTACCCTCTTCAATTTTCCCTCTTTATTTTCCCTCTTTATTATTGAGTAAATGGCCATTTATGTAATGACATTTATGCTATGGGCGTTTTGCATAAACAGCCATTCTGAAGAGTTGCACCTCTTCAGATTTCAGCCTAATTTTGGCTATAAATACAACACTATTCTGCTCAGAATTTCACTACGTTTTTCTGAGTTTCTTCTCCTTCTTCTGCATACTTTTAGCATCAAACAAAGCAAAAAGTAAGTGTGATTTGCTACCGAACTTTGTGTTCGCTGAAACACTGGGGTTTGAAGTACCACTACACCAGTGTGTAATTCGTTCTATCCTGGGAGGAAATAATCCATAACCTTGGGTACTAGGAGGGGATTAAATTCCTTAAGGAAACACTGTGAATTCAGTGGGCTCGAATTGGTTTTATGTCATTTCTATTTATGTTCATTTCTGTTTATACTCATTTATATTTCCAGAATTATTTTACAAATACAATCTACTAACAATTTCAGTCCTTTCAAATGAATTCTCCATTCAGTTCGACGAAGAATCGCATGCACAGATTCGAACAAACTCAAGACTGAGCCAATGCGCAACAATAATAAAATTCCAGAATTATAGAGATGAAATTTTCAGTTTCAATTCAGATAATTCAACTCAAATTCCCAGAAATCAGAGATGAAGCTCAGTTCTAATCACAAAGAATCAAACCTGTTTCGTCGCGACGATTTGTCAGCTGCTCGAGTTGAGTCGAATCAGTCCGCGAAGTTCTTCAATTGAAACTAGTGTTCTTCTGCTTCGACCTTCAATATCAGCTGCTCAAATGTTTCCGGAAATCGATTTCCAAAAGCATAAGAATCACACCCAGAAATCGATTTGAAGATATCACCCGCAAATTCAAAGAATTCAGTTCTTTTTCTCCACAAAATCAGCCCAAAAATTTTCCAATCAAATCACGTTTAAATCGGCTCTAAACCATCTGAAGTCTAAGTACAAGCTTCATAACAGCCCTATAATCAAACCCCAGTAGCTAATTTGTAAGGACAATCACCAAAACTGAATGCCAAGTCGGTCTTCTTCCTCAAAAAAAACTCGTTCGACAATTTTCGAACTCAAAACCCTAGAAAATCAGTTCAAATCGAGCTCAATCTTCAGATTTCACTTTGTTTCAGTGTTTTCAACTAAAAATCTCGAACACCAAATCGATTTTGAACCTCCAATTTTTTTTCAGAATCAAAACCAACCTAGCTTCTTCTTTTTTCGGTTCAGATGATTGTGAATTCTGGGTTCAAATCTTCGAATCAGAGCTCAAATCAGTAATTCAATCTCATAAAATGAAGAAATCACAAATTTCAGAACCAGAATCGACAACGAGAACAAGGAAATCAAAGTTTCTAAATGAAACAGTGATGAACGAGGCATACGATTTCTGTTTTAGTCACAAACCAATCGGATGAACAGTAAACATTCCTTTTTTTGGTAATTTTTCTTCTTCTTATTATTTTTATTTTCAGATTTGTTGATAATCAAAACAAAGTAGCAAGGATGGATAGAACAATCCAAAACCTCGGGCTGATACCAAGATGATACGGAATCGTATCGAAAACACGGATATAGCAAAACATGCGGAATTAAAAATAAGAGCTACACCTACAATTGATTGGAAGAACAAGAACCAATTAAAATAAGAAACCTAATTACCTCTATGAACTCAATCAATTGTAACCCTAAGCTATGAACATAAAAGCTAGACCCACAATTAATTGGAAGAACAAGAACCAATTAGGATATGAAGTCTAATTACCTCTATGAACTCAATCAATTATAACCATAAGCTATGAAACCCTCAAGAGATTGGCAACTCTTGAAAATCCGAATAAAGTAATTAAGCAATTAAGCATACTACTAATTGCTCACCAACTAAGACTAATTTAACACTAATGAAATCAATAAAGAAATTAAAGACATAAACATAAATGCATTAATTAAAACATAAGGATAAATGGTGAGACTTGCATGTCTTCAAGTTTATCATTCATCAAGTCTACCTAAAATAAAAGCCTTAAGGGCTATTTATACTAGAGTAGGTATTTGGCTGCAAATGACCTAAATACCCCAAAGTTAATTCTAAGGAGCTTAGTCAATTATTACAAGTATAGCCTTCTTGATCTTGGCTCCTTTAAAGCACTCCAATGTTATGATGTTGACTTGGAAATAGTCAGGCATGAAACAGAAGTTTTAGGAAAGTAAGATCTAAAAAAATATTATGAATATAAATTAATGTAAGAATAAACCGAAGATTCTTATTAAGCACTGGTTGACATACAAATCTAAAGTCTAAACTACTGTAAGACGCACAAGATTTGAGCAACTATTATGCGAGGAAATTCCCTGCAATTCTAGCATTCGAGGTTTTACACTGAAAACTACAGCATAAATTTGGAGCGTACAACATTCAATAACTATTCAAATAAACTATGAGCAAAAAATAGCAAAACACTCACATGCAGTAACTTTGAGCAGCCATTTCGTAATCTTGAGTCTCCTAACAAATACAAAAGTCACGAAACGTCAAACTATAAGAAGTGAAAATGATATGCAAATAACGAATATACAAATTTTTTTCAAATCAACGAGAAAAATACCATTAAAAAAATTATCAACATAGAAAAAGGAAGAGGAATTTATGTACCATTACTTGTTCCAACCTGCTTTTGGCAAATTTGTGTGAGCATAAAGAAAAAGAAAATGTGGAGTGAGTTTTCCTTCTTCTCTTTTTGGGTCATTGACTTTCCTATACGAGTTGGTCAATTAGAGTCTCGTAATTGAGAGTTTGGCTATAAATTGATCAATCCTGAATGACTCTGTTTGATAGAAAGGCTAATGATCTGATTTCATTCCTTCTCTAAGCTATTAGTATTTTTCATAAGACTTGATTTTGGCTTGCATGATGTGTAGACAGAAGATCACTCCCAATTTCTGTTTGTGCAGTAAAATTTGGTTTTCAAAAAAAAGATCAGCTCCCCATAAGATAATTCTTACAAAATTAGTTTACACATCGTTTTATATGTGTGTCCATAAGGTTGCTAAACGTGAACTCTTTGCTTCACTTTTTGATGCTTCAGTCCATAATGAGAAGCGATAGTGAGTGCAAGAGGTCGCAAACAAATGCATGATAGCAGATATTTTGACATAGATGTCTCTTCCTTTAGCTAGAGGGAAAAATTATACATATGATTATGGGTTCATTGTTTTGTTCTTATTCACTCTGATGTTAATTACTGAACAAAACCAGGAAAGAGGAGTTGGTGCTAATGCAAAAGAGCGTATGACATAAGAGATTTAATCTTGTGTGTGTGTGTCATACCTTGAACCTAGCAATATCTTTTGCATTAGCCTTCTCTTACCATCTCAGATCGTGAAAGTCCAATCCTTTACTCTAATTATTTTCTTATACTCTTCCTGAATGTCTCTGATTTCATTAAATCGATGAAAGGTATTTTATTTTTCGCCATAAATTGTTATATGCTTCTTCTGCTTCATTCTTCTCTCTCAATGTCTCTTTTCATTCTATGTTTTCAGAAGACATACTTTCTAAAAATTGATGTAATTTACAAATAAAACTTAATATCTAACAATGGTATAATTTATTGAAGTAGTTAAATCCGGAAGCATAAATGGTACATGCTATTGTACCGAAAATCACCCTATCTACGTAACGAAATGCAAATTACTCGTCACAAACCATAGGCAACATCAGTAGCTTCCGTAGTGTAGGTCAAGAGTGATTAAAGCTAGAACTTTCACAAATATGAATATAAAACCTCCTCAATCAGTAGTCATTTCATGCATCAGATTGCTATCTCTTCACTCAGAATTTTTTTTCGCTATCCCAGACTTGGTTGATTCGATTCCTTTACACCACATGTGGAACATATATTATTGAGGAAAGAGCTGATCTCTAGACTTGTAAGTATAATTTGATAGCGGTGAAACAAATAAATTAAAGCACTAAAGCAAGCACATCCAACAATGGTTGCTTCAAGAAACTACATGCAGAGAGTTAGGCCTTACCATTATAACAATCATCATATTATACTAAAAGTAGGAAGCTCCTAAAGCTGTCACGACCCAAAATCCACTAAGGGTCGTGGTGGCGCCGGACACTGCTGTCAGGCAAGCTAACTAAAATACTTAATTAGATTAGAATTTTAACAATTTTGAAAACCAAGATTTTCCTTCAAATTTCATAAGTAAAAAGATAACCGCATCAATTCAAATTAAATAATAAGCAATTAATACAAAATATTTCAAAACCATCCCAGAACCCGGTGTCACAAGTGCATGAGCAATTTCTAAGAAATAATATAATACAATAACCGTCCGGAATACAATATTGGACAGGAAATAAATACAGATAACTGAAAGAGACTCTGCTGGCTGCGGATTGCCTCGAGAAGTGCAGCTCACCTAAGTCTCCGTATCAACCATGCTACTACGCCCAGTAGGCCACTAGAGTTACATATACCTGTGCAACAAAAATGCACAGAAGTGTAGTATGAGTACAAAAACAACGTGTACTCAATGAGTATCCCGTCTAATCTCGAAGAAGTAGAGACGAGATGGTCGACTTCGACACTTACTAGTGGTCCAATAATGATGTATCAAATATATGCTAAATCGTGGATTTTTATGAGCATGATTATAATTCGATAGGTTGAAGCAAATAAACAATTCTTCCTTTTATAGAAAATTTCCAAATTTCTTTTTATAATTTATACAATTATTCTCAAGCCGGGAAGAGGCTATAACAACTTCAATAAGTTTCTAGGCAAGCAATACAAGCATGCGCAAATCATGCCGATGCGTACGGCCCGCTCCAACAGAAAATAAACTGTGCACTCCCGAGGGTCGAACGACGCGAACCATATATGCATATATTATCCCGCTCGCGAACTATCCATGCGACGCGGTCAACATAAAGTAAACAATCACCCTGCTCGCGAATCATACGTGCGACGCAGGTACATATAGAAAAACATGCTCAGATAGCCAATTAAGAATTTATCCAAATAAAAGTCACTTCTCTTTTAACAATTTAAGAAAAGAAGTTTAATCTTTTTTTGAAATTCATTTACTGATTCGATGTGATTTAAGCAATTCGAGCGGTCAAGAAGTTTACAGCTAATTCAAGTATAGCATGCTTTTGGGTCCTAGACTACCCGGACAATAGTATAATAGTAGCTACGCACGGACTCTCGTCACCTCGTGCGTACGTAGCCCCCACAAATAGGAGCACATAACCAATTAATTCACCTATGGGGACAATTCCCTCTTACAAGGTTAGAAAGGAGACTCACCTCGCTCCGAAGTTCCAAAACCGGCATTCCACGCCTTTTCGGAGACTTGAATCGATGTTAAATACTCCAAAACTAGCCAATGATCATGCAAATTCATTAATATATGATAAACTACTCGTATTAATCCAATTTATAACAATTCCTAACCCCGATCGGAAAGTTGACAAAAATACCCTCGGGCCCACGTGCCCGGATTTCCAAAATTTTCGAAGAATAAGTTTACCCATAGCTTCACGAACTCAAATATATAATTTTTTCTAAATTCCATACCCAAAATCGTGGCCAAAATCCAAAAATACTAATTTTCTAGGTTTTTCCTCAAACCCCAAGTTTTCTACAATTTCCATGTCTAAATCCATATATAAACCTTGTATTTAACTCAAAACTAGCATAAATTACTTACCTCATGATGAATGACGGAACCCCCTCTTCAAAAGCTCCAAAAATTGCCCAAGCCAAGAGAAAAATGGGTGAAATGAACTCAAACCCCGATTTTTAAACATTCTGCCCAGCCAGGTCCGCCCTTCTTCGCGTTTGCGACCTTCCGCTCGCGTTCGCGAAGGCCAGTCACCCAGCCCTTCGCGTTCGTGTACAAGGCCTCGCGTTCGCGTAGGCCAAAGACCCCAGGCCCAGCTTTTTCCTTCTACGCTTTCGCGATCTCCTCCTCGCGTTCGCGTAGCAGCTCAGCCCACCCCTTCGTGTTCGCGACTCCCTCTTCGCGTTCGCGAAGGCCAAAACCAGCAGCCTCCCACTTTCCTCTTCGTGTTCGCGAGACTCCCTCCGCGTTCGCGAAGAA